GCCGGCGGCGGCCGTGGGGGCCCGGCAGAGGCTCAGCCCCGCAGGCTGGCCCACAGCACGGCCCCGCTCATGGCGAGCAGCGCCAGCACCTGCAGCCCGGCCAGCACCGGGAAGTAACGGAAGGAGCCGGGCGTTCCCCGGGGAGCGTCCGTGCCCGCGGCGGTCGGCGGGGGGATGCTCGGAGGGAGGGTGAGGGCCGGGATGAGCTTTGGGTCTGCAAACACGAAGAGAGGACAGATGCAGCGGGTGCCCCCCGGGCACTGAGCCGCCCTTGTCCCTCTCCATCCTCCGACCCTCCGGGCACCGCCTCCTCCCCCAGCGCGGCCCCGACCTGGGCACTGGTGCTGTGCTGGGGGGGGGCCGACAAGTGCAGGGACTGACCTGGGTCCACGATCACCTTCACAACGTGACCCTCATCAATATTGAATGTGCCCGTTCGCACCCCACAGACATAGGTGCCCGCGTCCCCCTCGGTCAGGCTCTCCATGGTCACCGTGAACACCCGCCGTGTGCGATTGTCCTGGATGGAGAAGCGGTGCACCCGCACCATGGGGTGCTCACTCGAGGTGATGATGATGTCATCAGAACAGGTGAAAATTCTTCCCGGATAGCACCAGAATTTTGGCTGCATCTCCTGGCCAGCCTCGTACCTACAGTTCACCAAGAGGGACCCCCCCACATATCCCCGCATGGTGTGGGGGCCCGTCACCGCCAAGCAGCCTGTAGAGACACACGGAGATATGGGAGTGCTGCCTCCACCCTCACACCTCCTGCCCCATGGGGCTGGTCCAGTGGTGGGCTTGCGTCCTACCTGGCAGCAGCACCCCAGCAAGCAGCAGCAGGAGCCCCATGGGCAGGCTGGTTTGGGCTGCGTGGCCAGGCAGTCCTCCTGCCCCTTGTGCTCCTTGTGTCTCTGGGGCTTTGCTTCCTCTTCTGCCTGGGCTATCAAATTTCTTGCTGCTGGAGGTTTAGCAAGACCATGGGGTGTCTTGTTTCCTGTGGTCGCAGCCAATTTCCTGCCTCCCCTGTCACTGAGGGCACTGTGATGCACTGAGCCCTGATGCCCTGCTCCTGCCTCTGCCTCATGGTCTCCCCTTTCTGCCCCTGGCACAGCCCCCCCAGCAGGGTACAGTCTGGCCTTTCCCTGCCTCGCTGCCACACTCTGGCCAAGCAGGGCACCCAGTGGGGGATCTGCCTCTTGAAGGGTGGCTCAGCCCTGCACAGGGACCCCCTAAGCCCCAAACGTGCCCCCAGACTGGGGCAGTGCTCCTGCATGGGCACCCTGTTCGCCCTGGGGGAAATGCAGAGAGGGAGCCCCAGCCTCCTGTCCCTGTGCAGCTGGATGTGAGCACCCATCCCTGCTGCCCTGGCCACCACATCCCTGCTGGGCTGTCCCCAGCACAGCCCAGGGCCCTCCAGGTTTCCACCCCTATCCCCATTCCTTGTCCCTTAGGAGGAACCAGTCCCTCCCAGTGTCCTCCCTCCCACCCATCAGCAACTTGCCAAGCCTGCACTGGGCTGGGCAAACACTTGGGATGAAGCTCCCAAGGGTGAGGGAGGGTTTGAGGACAGGCAGGACAAACACATCTCATGAACAGGGACCAGACCCATGCTGGTGTCTCAGGGTCTTTATCCTACAGCCACGGGCTGGTCCTGGCTCAGACCAAAGCCTCACATGTGGACCCACTGCTGATGCCATTGCGATGGCAAGGAGACAGCTTTATTGTCAACGAGTTTAGTGGTGCTCAGGGTGTTCCTCCGTGGAGACACAGCTGAGCTGGCCCTGGAGCTGACTTGGCCCTGGCCCTGAACCCTGGCCCCCAACGGTGACTCTCTGCAGGCAAAGGGTGTCTGCTTTGAGCAACACCCGGGCCGGGTGCTGGGCTGCCGGGGGTCCCTGTGCAGTTGCTCCCAGATCCCTTCTCCTCCAGGGAACAACCTGGGAGCCGTGCAATTCCCCGTGACTCTGCCTTAGAGCTGCCACCTCCATCCCTTCTACACGTGGTGGCTCTGAGTCAGGGCTTGTCCCCACCTGACGGTGCCAGGACATGTCCCTGGATGGGGCACTCCAGGGATGGAAGGTCTCACCCACTTCCCTGGCCCCCCCTTCTTGGAGCTTCCCCACTCCTGTATGTTCACCCAGGAGATGGCACTTCAACTCCACCAGACAACGAACAAGGAGCTGGGACCCCAGGGGGTGGGAGCACAGCCCTGACCCCTGCACTCCTGGTGGGGTCCTGGCAGGAGCAGGCAGGCAATGGAGCAGCAGGGGGAGAGCAAGGTGTGGGACCCATGGTCGGGGTTCCCAGCCCTCTCCCTCCTGCACAGCCAAAATACTGCGTCTGCAGTGGAGGTTTTGCCATGTGGGGCTGGAGTGGGCTGTGATATCCTGGTTCACGCCCGTGTCTGGCACCTTGGGCATTTTGCTTCACAGCAGCTGTGGAATGTGGGATATGGTATAGCCTGGGAGGGGAGGGAGGTGGCCCTGCCGCTCTCTGTGACATGGCTGCTGGTGGCAGCCATCCCGTGGGGGACAAGCACACGTAAAGAGCAGGGTTCTGGCAGGATTTCAGCAGTGTGCAGGTGCTCACTTTTTAGAGATGCAGAACCTGTAAAAGTGTAGGAAAAGTATAGGAGCAATGAGAAAAGGAGCCCACAGTGCAGCTGAGTGCGATGTGAGCTTTGCTCTCGGGCTGAGGGTGGAAAGTTGCTGCAGTGGGGGAAAGAGTTGTGGAAGGACACTGTTCCCTGGCTCTCACTCAGCTGGACACAGGTGTTTAGTTGCACCACGCGGGGCTGGCAGGGCTGAGGGCTCCTGTCCCCGGGCTGGGGCTCAGCTGATCCATGGTGCAGTGGCCCGCTGTGACCTCATGATCCCACAGCCATGCCACAGCATGTCCCCCCATGGCCCCACACATCAGCCACCAGAGTCCCAGGCAGTGCCAACAGCTGAAGAAGGGAGCAAATGGACAGACAGACGGACAGACACCTGCAGGATACCCAGGCTTTATTGCAAAATTTTCTTCAGTTGTCAGCTCCAGCTCAGCAGATGCCGGCTCTCTGCACCCCCAAACTGCCCCTCTCCAGCGTAGGGGCTGCCAGGAGGGGTCAAGGTTTCACAGGAGGAGAAGCACCTAGAGCAGAGCAGCTCCTGGCACAGGGCAGCTGTGATGGGGGGCACAGTGCTGGCAGGGTGGGGGGCAAGGGGCAGGAGGATGCTCCTGCGGCTCTGAGGTGGTTGGGGCAGGTGGGCAGCCCAGTGCCCTGATGCTGCTGGTCATCTCAAAGAGCTGCAGGTTTTCCCGGTCACGGCTCCTGCACCGGGTCCTCACCCAGGCAGCCCCACACACCAGGGCCAGCGCCACGGATGCCTTCACGGTGAGGAAGAGCAGGAGGTGAGTGATGCTGAGTGGGCACCTGGATAGGAGAAAGGAGATGATGCTAGAGCTTGAGTAAGGTCTGGGTAATTAGCATGGGAACTGGGGCTCTTGCATGTCTGCCAGCCACCCTGCTTGCCCCTGGGATGCCCCTTGGGGCTGCTGTGATGGGGGGAACCCAGGGATGGGGGTGGCATGCAAGGGAAAATGTGTCTTAGGGTGGGGAGTGCTGCTGGGGGCTTGCCCAGACCCCGAGCCCTGACTCACAGCACTGGAGGGTCCTCAGAGCCCATGGGGCCCAGGAAGTTGGGGACCAATGGGTTCACATTGCTGCCCTCGGATGTGGTTGAAATAGCTATGAAAAAAACACAGAGTCAGAGCAAAGTCGAGACCCCCCTGCACCCCATCCTGCTCCCTGCACAAGGATCTCTGCCCCAAGAGTTCAGCCACAGAGATGCAAGAGGTGGAACTGAGGGTGTCCAGGAAATGCACTGGGCACTGGGGTGGATGAGGAGGGAAAAAAAGGGGGATTTTACTGGGAGGGACAGCTCCGTACAGCCTCCTCTGTCCCTCATCCAGATTTGCACCAGGGCAGCCTCCAGCGGGTCTCTGTGCCCACAAGTAGCTTGTTCCCACTTTGAGAAGCCCTGTGCTCCCCTGGCTGGGGAGGCCCTGTCCCCAGCACTGTGACAGGCTCCATCACACACCCCTGCTTTGCTCCCAGCCCGGCTTTACCTGCGGACACCATCACCTCGATATTGTGCCACAGGTTGAACCACAGTGTCCTACTCAACCCGCAGGAGTACCAGCCTGCATCACTCGGCGTGACACCACTCAGCATCACCGTGAATGAGCGTGCCATGTGGTTGTCCCTGATGGACACACCATCCTGTGTCACCGTCACCTCTGAGCCGTTGGTTTGGGCGATGTAGGTGAAGCAAAACCAGAGGAAGCTCGGGCGGCACCAGTACTTGGAGTAGAGCTCGTAGCCTGGCTTGTAGCTGCAGGACACTGCCAGCGAGCTGCCCTGCTTGGCCACCACGTGTGTGGGGCCCGTCACTGCCCAGCCACCTGCAGGGGACAAGGAGAGGTGCTGCAAGCATGTACCAGCATTGCCTCGGGGACCTGAGGACACCAGACCTGAGCCCAGGATGATGGGGGCCACCCTGTCCCAAGGGAGGCTGAGTCCGTGCACTCAGCAGTGTGGAGATGAGATGTCCCCAGTCATTATAAAAAGAGCCCTTGTCAAGCATGCATGTTATTAAACGAGCAAAAAGCCTTATTAGCAGGGTTCAGATGACAGCAATACAAGTATATCTCAGAGATCACCCCCTGTAGCCACCCACTGGCCACAAGAAAAGGACAATATTAGCTGGGATCTTGCCGTGACAGCACTGGGCTTCCTGGGCCAGCTGGGTCCCAGACTGTCCACAGCTCTGCCAGAGCCCTTGAGGTGGGAACCACCTGCCCTGTGCTCTTGTGTCTCACCTGAGAAAAGGGTCCAAACCAGGAAAATCCTCATTTTCCAGCTTCTCACTCCCGACATGGAT